AATGCGCATGAAAAAGAAAGTTTTTGATAAACTTCAGTTGGCGGATGTGAGGTTGTCTTGGAGATTAATTGGTGAAGAGGTTCTTAAAAAATTCACAGGTATCTATTTCAATTCTCTAACAAAAGGTACTATTGTTAACTATAGAAGAAAAGCTTTCACTGAAGTAAAGCAGTTTCAATTTAGTATCAAAGTAATTTTCCTATGAAATTCGTGGTATTCATTTGTTTAAATTCATACAAGCACTTTTTTTCTATGAAAAGAAGTTTAATTGTATATTAGAATGTTAATTAGAAAGATTAAAATAAAATATTGTGTCATCTAAAAAATAGAGCTCATCTGCAAAACAAAAAAAATTCTAGCGTAAATTTTCAAAGTAAATTAAAGTATTTACTATAGTTAATTATATGACTATAGTTATATAACTATGATAAACTTTGTTAGATATACTACATTAGATAGAAGCATGCTTGAACACTAAGTTTATCATTTCATAATTTTTAACAGGTGAATATGTGACCCCAGTACCCAGCTTTCAAACCTCAAAATGCCCGTGTGGCCCTGGATACGTAATTCTGTCAAAATTCCGATCGTTCAAGAGTTGGCTGCATAGAGACCCCCCTAGGCGTGTCTTCACGGAGTGTCTTTGGGATTTCCAACCATCAGGCCCCAACAAGCCAGATTCCGTACAGATGATTCCGGTAACCACTGTTTGTGATCGTCCGTCGTCCACCTTTCAATTTGTAGTCTCGCGTAAGAGGAAGCATAAAACAAAGACCATTAAAGTTACTTTCCACGGCAAGAAAATAACACAACTTGATCTCCACAAACACAAGCTGCAGAATCGGAAAGTCGCAACACTTCTCTTTGGTAAGTTTTTTTTACTTTAACTTTAGCCCTTTACAATTCATTTTGAGAATTAATTGTAATTTATAAGATTCAGCTCTACTTATTTTCTTATTAACACATAAATTATCAATGCGTTCTTTGACATTAGATGATACTGGATTCGATTCTTTTTCGCTACACATGGTGAGTAGAGTTTTCTTGATAGACCGAGGGCGGATCGAGGTGTGGGTGGATAACGATCTGGACTTTATCGATATTACCGACCAAAGTCCAGTTGGTTTTCAGGTATTTAAACAAAATACAACTTTTATATAGCATCTTAAGGATTGCAAAGCATTCCCAACCAATCTTATCGGATTCTTTGGAAATACACTTTTCTTAAATTCGGGACATTGTCCAAAATTTATTTCTGATAATGTCAATATTGACATCAATTATTTTAAAAGGTATCAATGCAGTTAAAAAAACCCCGCATATTATTCCATTTGAAAGTACATGTACAGCTTGTTATTTATTGATACGACTTATTACTGTAGATGTGTCATCTCTGGCTAGATGAAACAAACGACGGGGATCGCTTCATCGATGGCATTTCTAACGTCAAGTCCAAAAATTTCAAAGCAACATGGCTGAATAGAGAAAATTATAAACAAATCCTGCGTAATTTTATCCCAAATCAAGGGAAATACGGTATGGAATCACATATAAAACTTTAAATGTTAATAAAGTGCCTTGTCTGTAACATTAAGTTTAAACAAATTACAAATTTGACAAATCTAAATATCGTAACATTTCTTATTTAACAATATTCCTTGTTAATTTGGCAGGTAGCGAGGCAGGTGACATAAACTGATTTAAACCCATCCTTTCTTGGAAAACAGACTTCATTTTGTGATGTTTTAATAATTTTATTCAGTTAAAAAAAACAGCAACATATATTTGTTGCCTAACAGATGTACATGAACATAAGTAGAAAAAAAATAAGTAAAAATATCAAATTCTTGTCACCGAAGACTGAACTGAAAATTGCTACAATGAACACCAAAGAAATAAAAACAAAATTGTTGCTGATAGTCAGCTATCAGTACATGAACAACATTGCATGGCACATTATTTAAACAAATAACAATATCTAACAATGCAAATCAACACAGTATGGCGGGGTTTTCATTTACAAACATAAAACAAATATGATATGTCAATGTTGGTATTTTATATAAATGCATCAATTACTAATTGTGAATAAAAAAAAACAGCTTTTATGTCTCTAGTATATACTATATTTATTTGTTCCTAAATCAAAAAAGTCTCGAAGATTTGTGTGTGTGTGTGTTTTGTTTTTAACAAAACAATTAATTTCATTTACTGAAAACATGGATTCTTCTGGTGTGTTAAGATGTATGATCATCTGCATTACATTTCAGTTGTATGTAGATTTACAATCATTCTGATTACATAACAGTTGTGTACACAGTCTGCATTACATTACAGTTGTGTGTAGAGATGTATACACAACCTGTATTACATAACAGTTGTGTGTAGAGATGTATACACTGCCTGCATTACATTACACTTGTGTGTAGAGATGTATACACAACCTGTATTACAATACAGTTGTGTGAAGAAAATATATATAGACTGTCCCCTAAAACCCCACACAGCAAGCCCTTTATTTTTTTTTTACCCCTTCCACTGTTTTGATTGGTTCTGGTTCGTGAGAGTCACCCGACTCTGGCTTTTTTTGATACTGTCAATTAAAGTGATGAGAGTGAGAAAAAATAATGGAGATCGAATGAAATGCAAAGGTACCACAGAAAAGTTACACATTAAAGTCACTGTACACACCAAGAATCTATGAGAAAACATTCAGAGTCACATTTTTTTCTACTGACCTTAAATTTCTCAAAATTTCTAATTATGAGCTACTTAGCTACATATAATATTTTCACTGACCATAATCAATCACTTTTAGCTATATAGCTACACATAATATTTTCACTAACAAAAACAATCACAGTTTAAAATATGAATGAGGATCAACTCTGCATCATGAATCTATTAAGCATGAAAATAGAGTGCATTAACCTTTTCTTCATCTAATCATACTTCTTTCATAAAATTTAAAAATTAATTTTATTATTCAATCAAAATTATTTGGTAGATCTAAAAGAATCATTGTTAAACTAATGCATCATAGACAAAACAAGGTTGCGACATCACTCAATATCCTAAAAAAAGAAGTCTGATTCAGAATTTCTATTTTACACCATCACAACTTACTGTGACCAATATCTGGTAAGCCATCTGCCCCTAAAAACAAGTATGATTATAAATATCTGACCTTGTTAATAAATTTTACCTGATTATTAGAGGTAGCCTATGTTCTTATTATCTATACATGTAGCTTGTAGCATGGTTATTTTTGCTGTGGTTATTCAGTTTGCAGTTTTCTAGCTGATTTTGGTTGAATGTGACATTTATTAAATGCTGTTAATTTTATTTTCTAGCAAATGATATGCTTAAGGTTTTACATTTTTGATACCTTGTTTAATTATTATTAATATATATATCAACATTCAAGATTTAATGATCAAGAAATTTCTTTTAGAAAAAAGAAAAAAAGCATTAAATGCAAAAATTTAAAGAAAAAAAAAATATTAAGAACATATTAAATTTCAAAGAGAATTTATATTGAATTACTTTTCAAAATGTAAATATTCAAAAACTGAAAAAAGAAAAAAAAAATGAATTGAATATGGTATGAAATAAATCTAAAATGTTATTTAAAAAAAAATTAAAAATAACTTGAGAAAAAATTGTCACAGTGATTAATTCTAAGGAATTCATAATTATAGGGGCTCAACAAAGACCTATCCCATGGATAAGAATATCTTTATGGTAGGAAAAGTCCTTCAACCAAGGGAGTTACAGATATTGATAGCTATATATAGAGAGAGGATACCCTGGTCTTTATATAGATATGACATCATAATGCCAATTGCTCTTACCCTGGTAAATTTGTGATGTGGAACATTCTGAAGCAAAACATTTATCAATCAATTACACTTTCTTTTTTCAAATGTGAATTAGTATTTAATCAATCTATACACCTACAGTGTTATTGTAATCAATTAAAAATAAAACAGGCCAACAATTTTTGGTTCCTCTCTTTACGAGAAAAATGTTAAAAACTTTACATATATGGCAGTAAAAAGATTAATATTCACATTTTTTTTGGACACTGGGTCAATGCAGTCTGCAGTTAAGATACAAATTATAATACATGTGTAGATACTTAGCAACCATAATGTTCCCACTGGGAAATTTAAAATACCATGAGAGGAACCAAATCATTATGTTTGAGTGGCCTCCACTTTAATCACAATGTGACACTAAAAAACACAAAATACAGTCAGTGACAAACACACATATTCTTACCTGCTCCTAAAGAGCCATTGAAAAAACACAATGTGGAATTAGAAACATGTACATGTTACATGTGAAACATAGGAGAGGATCTAACAATTTTGTTAACTGAGAGAGAGATCAAGGGTTTTCTTTTTATAATGTAAATCTTTATACTATTTATTAAACAGTTAAAGGAATACAAGAATGAAAATTATACATAAGAATCATTTCTCAGATTGAAATAAAAACTGTTAGCAAAGTATAAATACAAAGCTTAGTAAGGTCTATGCTTCAGGAATATAGTTTTAATTTCTAAATATCAGAAACTGTGATATGAAAAAAAATACAAATTATAAAAATTTTGAGAAACTTACATGAATTTCTTGAGGAGTCCTACTTTCCAGCCAAGCATCTGCAATTGGTTTCCATCCCAAGATATCTTTGTCAATGTACACAATACCCTGCAAAGATTCAATACATATTTATTAACCATTCTGGAGTTTGAATATTTTAAGGATGACAACTGAGGCCTGTTCAACACAGCAAGCCCTCAAGAACATTTCTGTTGGAGGTATAAGGAATTTTTATGGGCGCTCTCAAACGTTTGCTCTGTTGAACAGGTCTCTGGTAAGTTGTTTAACATTAATAAAATCTATAGTATATAATACGTACAGATCGTGAGACAGAAGCTGGAGAGGCACTACTCAGGTCATCTGTCTCAAAAATCACAATGATGTTATCTGACAAGAACATCTTGTCTCCATTCTTCAGATGCAGGACCTAAAAAATAAAGCAAAATTTATATTAAGTAGTGAAATTTTGAAGAGAGTTTTCAGGAAAAAAATAAAAAGTACCTACAACTTCAATTAAAACATTTTAAAGGTTGGAAGACAATTTACAAGGCAGCGTTTCATAATGTTTGGGTCTGTATGTTTGAAAAAAAATTCTTTTTTTAAATAGTACATGATATGAAACATCACAATTGATGAAATCTGTCTACAATTACCTTGTCTCCATTCAGAATGGGGTTGAAGTTGTCGGCCCAGCCTGGGTTTAAGGGACCATCCAAACAGAGCCAAGTTGTGCTTTGGTTCTATTGACAGACAAAACAAAACAAGTAAAGAAATATGGTACCTTATGCAGTCTAATAATATCAAACTTCTCCACTTTTTATATTTTATTTTTCAGAATTCTCCACTTTTTATATTATATTTTTCAGAATTCTCCACTTTTATATTTTTCAGAATTCTCCACTTTTCATATTTTTCCACTTTCTATATTTTATTTTTTAGAATTTTCCACTTTTTATAGTTTATATATTTCAGAATTCTCCACTTTATTTTTATCTTTACCCTGTTGGCTTTTCTACAGGCGGAGGTGAAGATTCCGTCCACCCAGTCGTTGTTAACATTGGGGTATCCAAACATGAGCTGACAGTCGTCCACCACCATGGGGTTGATCTTGATCAGTTTGTGCTGGTTTTCCTGTATGTTGCCTGTGGTCCTGCTGCCCTGGGACTGCCTGGAGGTCCCCGCCTGGTTAGAGAGACTGAGGGCGTCCACCAGAGTCTGAATACAGCTGCTTTTACCACTGCCCGGGGGTCCGGCCACTATCACACCTACAGAATACAGGGGTCATAATGGTTAACAATGTTTTTACTGTCAGTGAATATCAATAATTTTTGTTGGCAACTATGAATATCAATAATTATATGAACTTAAACTTTGTTGATGTATTGTTTCATTAGATCTTCTCTGCAAGCAATATGAGTTACAAACAAGAAGTCTCTGACAACACTGTAGCTCTACTGGTATTTATAACAAAAGAAGAGAAGCACTTGAACTTGAAACTCTGGCAACAATGTTTTAGCATGTCTGCTGTCTCTATTCCTTACCATGATGGACCTTGGAGATGTTGTACAGCTGTTTACAGCGTTCTATCCAGGGTTCATGGGCTACAAGGCCTTTCTCCACACTTTTCTGTTTGAGGATCAGTTCCACATCAAAGCCCCGTGTTCTGGCTGACGGGATCTGGTGAACTGCTGGGGGATCAGGCAGGCCAGCAAACACGTCATCCAGAATGTGTTTAAAGATCTTCATGTTCTGTTAAATAAGAATATAAAAGACGGTTCAACCCACAAGTTTAGCTCTCATCAACTGACTTCCATCAATAATTTTCAATTCTGAAATTTTAAATCTATTGCATAAAGTGCAGAAAAAAAATCTTTTCTATGCTTTTACAGACAAACAGGAAGTTGACATCGATTTTGAACAAAAATGTATCCCACCATATGGCATGCCTTAGGAAAGAGTGTGTTAAAATTGAAAGCATCTGCGATGAGTAGTTGCTGAGAAAACTGCGACGAAAAATATATGCAATGAGTACATTTGTAGTTGCTGAGAAAACTGCGACGAAAATTTGTTACGGACAAACACACAGACAGACAGACAGACACACACAGGGTAAAACAGTATAACCCCCCTCTCCTTCGGAGCGGGGGTATAATAACAATTGCACATTTGGGAACAGAAGTTGTACTCTAGCAGTACATACAAAACCTTGCTCATTATTTTTTTTATACTACCAGTTGTTCTTCGTTTTTTATATGTCCAAGGCCAAAATGGTATCTATCAAATAAATGTCAAATGAAGTGATCAAATGATGCTTTGGATCTTGTCAGATATAACTAGCTATGGCTGTATTTATTATAAATACTAGCCAATGATCTGTCTTCTATTTATATTATAAAGACTTATACACTACACTGTCAATATAGAGAAAAATCAAATGATAAATTACATAAACAAAACATAAGAATGATAATTGAAGAGATGAAGGCTAACATAATATATTATAATGACTTATACACTACACTGTCAATGTACAGAAAATCAAATGAAAAATTACACAAACCAAAAAAAAAAAAAATATTAAAGAGATGAAGCCTAACATAATATTTTTTCTCATTTTCTTGTGATCTTTAAAGAACATAAAGAAATTTGTCCTTAGGACACTCTTCTCGTGAAAACATTTCTTTTTAATGTCAAACTGTCTCAGTTGCCCTTACGACAACAAAACAACAAGCTACCTTACATCTCTTCATTTAGAGCGAGCCATATAAAAATGACTTATTAATTTTATGTAAGCTCGCATGAACTTGTAATGAACTCTGTTATGTAATTTCTTACCCTAAGGTGTTTATCAATTTCCTTAGAAAAGATGACTCCATCAAAAGTTTAAAAAAAAAGATGTCTAACAGAATTGTTATATGAAGTAAATGTTTATGTCATATTAATCCCTGGTGTCATTTTCTCCCATTCTTCCTGTAATGTTAATTAATATAAAACAGCAGGTGAAATGAACATTGATATATGAGCATGTTTTGATTTGGATAAAAAAAAACAAAACAAATTGTGTATAATTGAACAAACATTGAAAAGGTGTGTAAAATGATAATTGGTTTTAGAAAACCTGTTTCTTTCCCAAAGGCAAAAATATTTAGAAAAAAACAAGAGGCCCAAGGGCCTTGAATTCCCTTCTGATAAATTGTACAATCCATTACTTCTGTTAGAAGCCTCCAACTCTAAGTATCATAAGACCCAAAAAGCATCAACTGACAAAGTTTGATAATTCTTAGCCAATAGGACTGAAGATATTTTAATAAAGCTATAAAAAACCATGAGTAGGTCACTGTGACCTACTTTGAGATTAAAGTTTTCTGAGGACTCAAGATGCATTAATAGACAAACTAAGATTGAATATTCTAAGCAATTAAGTATTTGAGATATTCAAAAGTAGGTCACCTTGACTTCCTTTTTGGTCTACATTCTTGGAAAACCAAAAAATGCATCAACTGAAAAAGTTTGATTATTCTAAGCCAATAACTACCTAAGATACTTAAATATAGCCATAAAATGTCAAAAGTAAGGTCATCGTGACCTACATTTTAGTCAACATTTTTCAGAGTCCCAAGATGCATCTGCTGACCAAGTTTGATAATTCTAAGCCACTAAATACCTAGATATTCAAAAGTAGGTCACCATGACCTATTTTTTGGTCGACCTTCTCTGAAAACCCAAGAGGCATCAACTAACACACTTTGATGATTCTAAACCTCTAAGTAACAGAGATACATAAATATAGCCATAAAATGTCAAAAGTAGGTCACCATGACCTACTTTTTTGGTCGTCTCTTCAAAAACCCAAGATGCATCAACTCACTAAGTTTGATGATTCTAAGCCAATAAGTACCGGAGATACTTAAATATAGCCATAAAATGTCGAAAGTAGGTCACCGTGACCTAATTTTTGGTCGTCATTCTCTGAAAACCCAAGATGCATCAACTGACAAAGTTTGATGATTCTAAAACCATAAGTACCAGAGATACATAAATATAGCCATAAAATGTCGAAAGTCAGGTCACCGTCTATGACCTTTTGATTGTCAGATCTTCGAAAACCCAAGATGCATCAACTCACAAAGTTTGATGATTCTAAGCCAATAAATACCTAAGATACTTAAATATAGACATAAAATGTTGAAAGTGGGTCATCGTGACCTACATTTTTCAAAGTCCCAAGATGCATCTGCTGACCAAGTTTGACGATCGTAGGTCTGAAGGTAATCAAAATATGCCATTTAAACAATTTGAAAACAAATGCCTGCTAAATTCAAAAAGTAGGTCACCTACTTTTTCATAAATATGTTTTAAGGTCCCAAGATGCAGCAACTTACAAGATTTGATGATTCTAACCCTCTTAGTGTCTGAAATAATGGGATTAAATGTTTTAAAAAGGATAGGTCATAAAGTTCAAAAAGAGGTCACAGTGACCTATTTTTAAGTTGACGTTGTTCAAGGACCCAAGATCAATCAACTGACAAAGTTTGATGATCATAGGCCTTAAAGTGTTCAAAATATGCCTTAAAATTAATATTAAAACAAATGCCCTCAAAATTAAAAAAGTAGGTCACCGTGACCTACTTTTGAGTTAACATGATGTGAAGTCCTAAGATGCATCAACTTACAAGATTTGATGATCCTAGTCCTTATAGTTAGCAAAATATAAACATTTTTATTAATTGTAAAATTAGGTCAACTTTGAAGTGACCTTGAGACCACTGCCCTTTGCCCCAGGGTCATGCCTTGAACAATTTTTAATCTTCAACATGTCCTGACCCTTGTATATAAGTTTGGTGAAAATCTGCCCGGTGGTTCTGAAGAAGAAGATTTTTTAGCAACCAGTACTTTTGGTTTCATTTTCCTGATTATCTCCCCTTGTTTTAGGGTCCCCCCCCTAGTTGTAGTATAAATGGTAGCCCTTGGGCCAAGGATACCCTGTGACAAATTTGACACCGATTGGCCAAGGGGTTCTTGAGATGGCCCATATTCTAAAAAGTTAACGCACACCGCACACCGCACAAATGGCCATAGCATTAGCTCTTTGAGCCTTTGGCTCAGAAGAGCTAAAAATATAATCGAAGTTATCACCATTAAGGCTGGCGTAAATTAATTTTTTGTTTAACATCACCTATAAACTTCAAAACCCATGAGGGAGGGAGGAAAAAATAAAACAAAAGAACTTTATTCGGTAATAACCAATATTTGCCCCCCAAATCAGACTTTGATGGAGAAATATTTAATTATGATATTAAACAGGGGGCTATATGCTGACTTCAAAGCACTGAATATTTTCATAAGTAATGACACCATATGTACGTCATGCCGTCACAAACATGACGTAAATTTCAGTTTTTAATAAATTTTTACAGAAAATTGTACATATTTCGTCGATATTTTGAGTAAAAGTCACCAAGCGCATGTGTGTTCAGGATCAATATTTTGATATAATGTGTAGAATGATAATATCAATGAAATATGTCAATATTGTTCCTGAACAAACTTGCGCTCTATAAATTTTAAAGCTAAAATTGTTGAATTTTTGTCCATTTTCACCTCTTTCTGAGAAAGGATATAAAATCGGACTAGTTTGTGACGTCATAAAAACAAAAATTGTGAATACACTGCTTTGACACTATAATATTTTCTGTTAATTTATATTTCTCATACAATTTATTGAATTCAGCACATTTCAGGAAGTTTTCAAAATTTGACTTTTGTGGGGGCAAATATATGCAATATACTGCATATAGTTCTTTTCAAACAAATGAATATTTACTCTACTAAATGAGTTAAAATACTGTCAATATTTGTAGACTTGCACAAGCTTTATGTTGATTAATCATTTTCTAAAAAAAATCTCACTTTAAATGACAGATTGATTACACTCAGCTCAAATGTACCTGGAAGAGGGCCCCAATATTCTGAACCGTTAATCACAATGGCTATACCCCTACTTCAGATAGGACCCCAATATTCTGAACCGTTAATCACAATGGCTACCCCTACTTCAAAGAGGGCCCCAATATTCTGAACCGCTAATCACAATGGCTACCCCTACTTCAAAGAGGACCCAATATTCTGAACCGTTAATCACAATGGCTACCCCTACTTCAAAGAGGACCCAATATCTGAACCGTTAATCACAATGGCTACCCCTACTTCAGATAGGACCCCAATATTCTGAACCGTTAATCACAATGGCTACCCTAGCTGCAATAATGTAGCCCTCTTCCGATTTTTTTTATCTGTTATTTTCTGGAGAGGGCTACAATTCCACAGCATCTCCGTAATGGTGCAAAAATATTTTGTAAATACTGGCGACTGCAGGCAGAATAAATTGTTTTCACAATCAACTTACTTCTAATAAGACGAAATTTTTATTCACTGTCGACATCAAAGCTCGTTCAACGTGAAAACCATGTAAAATAAATCTGTGCATTTATTCAGCAGCCATGACAGTTCACGCGTGACGTACTAGGACTTGCGCTTGAAATTTAGAATAAATCAATAAAGCAAATAATTGTGATGAATAGTAAAACTAAACATCGATAAATAAAATCATTCCATGTTTCATTTTTTTGTAAACACCGATATTTAAGCTTAAAATAAGGCAATTCCACAGAAATCCGCTCCCTATAGATCCTTAATCTCATTGGCTGTCCCGAAATAAAATCTGTCAAGGTCAGTAAACATGGCGGATAAATTT